CAACAATGGTACTTAACAACAACAACAGGCATCATTCAATTCTCAGATCATGAAGATTCACACCCCATGTTCAGGCTTTTGCAAATACCAGTACTTTAGCCTGAAACACTCCTCCATTCTTTTATTTATTCTCCAACTGTTAGCATGTTGTTGTTGTTGTAAAGTGTCATCTAGTCAGTTCCAACTCAAAGCAACCCTGTATAGGGTTTCCAAGGAGTGGCTGGTAAACCACTGACCTTGTGGTTCAAATTGCACTTGTGGTCCAGTGCTTATCCTGCAGTGCCACAGATGTCCCTAATCCTAAAAAGTTTCCCTCATTCCTTAATCATGCAGCAAGGTGCTTATTACAGGGCACAACTTGGGTGGCTGACTTGTTTATAACCAACTCAACCTCTTCTTTGAAGATACTCTTCTTCATCCAATGAGATTTATAATTTTCTTACATGAGTCCTGCTTTTGAATCATGGGCAAATGATCCAAGCAAGACCCTTGCTTCCTGAAGCCTCGGTGATTGGCCCAAAGTGTACTGTCTGGCCTAAGTTAGGCCAATTGCTGTCTTTGAATTTTTCAAAATTTTCAAGTTAGCTGAGAGAAATACTTTTCTCTTTGGGATGGGTTAAGATCAAGACGGGAGAATGTAAACCAGAAGCTGGCCAGACTCACCAGAATTCCCTCCCTATAACTCTACACTGGAACCCTTTGGGGACATCCCCTCCTGACTAGGCCTTGGCCAAAAGCTAGGCTCTGGATGTAGGGACATTCAAGGAGGTGGGCTGAGTAATGGAACAAAGGTGAGAAAAAAGACCTCTACAGTCATTCATCCTGAGGTCTTCTCAAGGGGACCCAGCCAGATAAAAGAGCTAATGCAACCCCTTCCACCACCCTCCTACACCTGAATCCCCACAGCCATTCCCCCTGCCTCTTCCCAGGCCCCTCATTTCTCCCTGTGCCCGTTTTCTCATGCTACAGGCTTCGAACCCTCTGTGGCAATCCCGAGGCTCCACCACTGTGTCTTCAGGAGGCCGTTTTCGCTGCCCATCTTGCAGGCATGAGGTTGTCCTTGACCGACATGGTGTCTATGGCTTGCAGCGAAACCTGCTTGTGGAGAACATTATCGATATTTACAAGCAGGAATCATCCAGGTGAGCTGAGGGGTGTTCTTGCCTCTCAAAGGACAGAGCCTGGGACACAGCCAGGGAAACCAGCAGGGCCAGAAAAGAGGCTGCAAAATAGTCTTCAGTACAGAGAGGAAGGAACTGGACCCAGAGAGAAAGAGTCACCTTCACCTCCTGGGAGGGAATGGCAGCCCACATGCAAGGTCCTTGCCTCCATGATTTCCTTCTGGAATACAGACTGTTCCTGGGTCTAGTCCTCCCCTATCTATTCCCCCAAACTAAAAGTACACTGGAAGGCACTCATCTGCCCAGCCACGGAGTGGTGGAAGTGGGTGGAGGCTGAAGAGGTGTTCACAGAGCTATGCACACTTGGGTTCCACCTCCACCTGGCCTGATCCATGACCCTCCTGTCCCCTCCCTGCCCTCTTCAGACCACTGAACTCTAAGGCTGAGCAGCACCTCATGTGTGAGGAGCATGAAGATGAGAAGATCAACATCTACTGCTTGAGCTGTGAAGTGCCTACCTGCTCTCTCTGCAAGGTCTTCGGTGCCCACAAGGACTGTGAGGTGGCCCCACTGCCCACCATTTACAAACGCCAGAAGGTATCAGGCAGGGAGGGAGCAGACATCTGGAGGGTGAGAACATAGCTCAGGGTCTCAAACTTCAGCCTCTTATTTCAAGTGGTTTGAAGTCAGGTAAATCAAGGCTGTCCTTAACTCCATGTATGACCTTGGGTAAGCTACTTAACTTCTTCACTTAATAAAATGAGGATAAAAACATATACTTCTGAGAGTTGTTGTGAGGATACAATTAGATTAATGGATGAAAGTACTTAGTATGGTGGGCACTCTCATGGTCTTCTCATTACTACAAAACTAGATTATGCCTAAAACACAAATTTTAAATCATGTTGGTAAGCATAAAGGAAATCTCCAAATTTGGGGAAGGGTGGAAAAGAGGCAGTAATGATCTGAAAATAGAACCATGAGTGGTAAGCAGAGGAAAGGCAGTGTACCCCAAAGTGCAAATGTTGGTCCTATCTCCAAGAGAAAGAGACTATGTCCTTTAGCTCCAAAAGTGGTGACCTGGATCTAAAACTCACAGGGCTAAACTGAAATCCCAGGAGCTAATATGGTTAGTTGCATCACCTGACTTTTGACAAAAGTAAATACAAATTATCTCTGGAGGAAGGCATCCTCTATCTGGGCCTATAGGTTTTCCAAGATTAATAAAATATTAGCTGACAATTAGAGATACACAAAGAAATGTACTCCATAGTAGAGTCAGAAGAAAGAAAAATAACAAGAGGAATTTGGATATTGAAATTACTAAAGAATAGAAAATCACTATGTGTAAAATGTTTTTTAAATGATGGAATTAAGACAACATCAAGCAGTAATAGACTATTAAATATTGTTCTGCAGATTTGACAAAGAACCAAATAGAACATTTTAGAAATGCAAATATAACTGTTGAAATAAAGCACTCAAAGGTTGAATAAAATGACAGATTTTTCTAGAGAGAATTAGTAAATGGGAACAGGCAAAAAAAAAGTTACCCAGAACGCAGCACTGAAAGATAAGAAAGTTGGGAATAAGAAGGTCTACCATATGTCTAATCTGAGTCTCAGAATTAAGGAATTAAGGAAATGGAGAAGATGCAATAGTATCAAAATAGAAAACACTGAAATAAGAAATGTCTAGAATTGCTGAAAGACATAAATTTACAGAAGAAGCATCTAGCAGTATCACCATACAGTAGATGTTTGCAGAATCACTATTCCATCCTTATTTGGTAATAGAGGGCTTCCCCCCACCACCTCCTTCTAGACTTCATAAGAGGTGTTTCCACACTTTTGGGCTGTTTCCATGTCCCCTGGATCTATGTAATAGGATGCCTTGATGGTGTGGTGAAGGGTGGGCATCCTAGGCAGTCCTAGCTGGGGCTGGAGGGGTGCTCCAGCCCTAAGTACTGACCTGTGTGTGGCAGAGTGAGCTCAGTGATGGCATCGCGATGCTGGTGGCAGGCAACGACCGGGTGCAAGCAGTGATCACACAAATGGAGGAGGTGTGCCAGACCATTGAGGTGAGCCTGTGTGGAGAGGGAGGAGCAAGTGGCCACAGGCTGACCTGGAGACTCTGGGCTCCCAAGAGAACTGCCCCTCTCTGCCCTTACGTAGCCCTCACTGACTGAACAGTTCCTCTGCTCCTAGTGATGGAACAGAGTAGAGGGATATGTTTGGCCAAATTGCTAGGTTTGAATTCCAATTCTGCCACTCACTTGTGCTGTGTACCGTTACTTAACTTCTCTGTGCTTTGGTTTTGTGGGGTTTTGCTATATGAAACAGCAGTAATAATAATGCTATAGTAGCTACCTTATTGATTTCTTTGTGAGAGTGCTTAGTGAAGCTACTTTAAAAAATTATTATTATTGCTGAAAAGATCTAGAAGTCAACAGCCTTTGGTAGGAGTTCTGGCTCTGTCACTTTCCTATCTTGGCTTTCTGTGACTTCCATTAAGTGGGGAGTTAGACAAATAAAAGAGGGACTCTTTCAGCTCTGTAGTCTCAACCATACCCCTTCATTCTTGCTCCCCATGTTCCAGGACAACAGTCGAAGGCAGAAGCAATTGCTAAACCAGAGGTTTGAGACCCTGTGTGCAGTGCTGGAAGAGCGCAAAGGCGAGCTGCTGCAGGCCCTGGCCCGGGCTCAGGAGGAGAAGCTACAGCGTGTCCGTGGCCTCATCCGCCAGTATGGAGACCACCTGGAGGTCTCCTCTAAGCTCGTGGAAACCGCTATCCAATCCATGGAGGAGCCGCAGATGGCGCTCTACCTCCAGGTGGGCCCTGTGGGGCGGGCGGTAGCGCTACCTAGCCGGAGCCTTGGCACCTGGAGTGACAAGGGTTCTAGTCTTATCTTTCAGCCCTACTAGCCTCAGAACCCTGGGCAAGTCACGCCCTCCGAGTTAGAAATAGTGATCTACACCCCTTCTGTCGACGAGAGAGAATCCAAACGCGATTTGTCAGGCCTGAGCGCGGTACTTACTCTTACTCTCCTTTTTTCCTGCAGCAGGCCAAGGAGCTGATAAATAAGTGAGTTGGCGGAGAGGGAAGAAAAAAAAAGGGAAATGGATGGGGGGACCCTACTGGCAGGGAGGGGTTCAAGGTGCTCAAGTGCTTCCAGCTGAGCCCCTGCGGCCGTCGCAGGGTCGGGACAATGTCGAAGGTGGAGCTGGCAGGACGGCCTGAGCCAGGCTATGAGAGCATGGAGCAATTCACCGTAAGCGTGGAGCACGTGGCCGAAATGTTGAGGACCATCGACTTCCAACCCGGTGAGGGAGCAAGGGAGGTGGGAACCGTGGGCACTGGAACTGGGAGTGGGGCATGAGGCCAGCAAAGTAGGGACTCCACCTCACCCTGGCTTTCTTCTGCCCAGGCGCTTCCGGGGAGGAAGAGGATGAGGAGGTAGTTTTGGACGGGGAAGAGGGCAGCGCTGGGCCGGGGGAAGAGCGGCTGGACGGGACGGACAGTAAGTGTGGCCCGAGGGTCTGGGGGCGGGACCTGGTAGACACGCTCCTATTCCCTTCTTTGGTGATAGCGCCCCCTGTGGCATCAGGGGTCGCTTGGAACAACCACTCATTTTAAATAACCCCGAACCAGAAAGGAGTACCTCTTTCGAGCAGGCAAAAGTTCACTCCCATCCCACCCCCACCCTGCCCTTTGGGGCTTTGGGAGACCGGGTTGGGGTCAGCTGGGGGGAGGGAGGGAACTGGACTTGGAGGTTGCCCCATTCCTTTGAAGCACCGGCCCACAGAGCTTCTTTCCTCCCCCATCACCCACCCCTCCCGCCCCCCCCCCGCCCCTGGCACAGGCCTGCACTGATCTGATCCTGTTGGGAGCCCGCACACCCCACACGGCTGGCACTCGGGTGGCAGAGAATCTGTGCAGAGACTACGTAGCCACTCAGCTCGCCCCGCCGGGGAAATGGGCTCAATAAAGGCCTTTTGGTCCCGGACCTGTGTCGCCTTTCAGCGCCACACCCTCAGCGGCCCCACTACCATCCCTTCCTACCCCGAATGTGTGTGTATTGGGGGCGGAGGTGCGATGAAAAGTGGACTTGCGAGCACAGACCCTGGGGAAAAGGTCGGGGTAGTGGGCTGTGCTGGAGATTCTGAGTCTCTGGAAGGACTGGGGGCAGAATGGGCCGAAGGAACCCGACTGAAAGCTTTCCTGCATCATCAGTTCACTCCCGCCCGCCTAGGAAGCCCCTTTCCGATGGGTTCCCACCCTGCTGTGGTTCTCTGCACCCCTATGACAGAAGTCAGAGGCTCTTCGGTATTTTTATTAAAAAACAGTAACGCAGAGTGATCTGGGTATCCCTGGGCCACTCAATCCTCGCGGGGACTGGGCCAGTTCTGGTGGCAGACGTCCTAACCCTAGCGGGGATAAAGGATGGGGGTCAAGCTTCTTGTGACCCCGGATGGGAACAATCACTTGCCCACCGAGTCGAATATGATGCGGTTCTGCTCTGCCCGCTCCCGCTGACTCTGAGTCCGTGCCAGCTCCAACAGGGTCCTCAGCAGGTGAAAGGTAAGGTCAATCGACAGCGGGGGGTCGTCCCTTCGTGGCCGCTGTGCTGCCGCCCGGGTTCCCCATCGACCCAACCCCACACGGCGTGGGAAGCGCTCAGCCAACAACAGGAGTAGCGCGCCGGTCCCACCGCTCTCGTCCGGTGTCCCGGGTCTCCAGCGTAGACTCGGGTCCTGGACCCCGGCTGCTGCCGCTTCCCGGCCCCAACGGCTGCTCCCCGGCTGCAGCTGTGCTAGGAGCAGCAGCGCCACCAGCAGTGCCGCGCGTCCCGCCTGCCTCATGGTCCCGCTGGCCCTGGACACACAGGGGCAGCGCAGGGTAAGACGAGCGGGGACAGCTGCAGGGGGCGCCACTCCCCTTCCGCACCACAGAGGGTGCCCCGCTGCTGCCTGGTGCCCACAGCCTACCTTCCCTCCAGCCCCAGCAGCGGCCCCGGTCCGATCCCACCTTCCCTCCCGCCTTCGTGGCAGTGGCAACGGGTGAACTGAAGGCAGTCCTTCCTGGTGCTGAGGGAATCTAGGTAGATGCTCCGAGCCACTCACAGGTTGTCGCTGAGCCTTTGCACGGTACAAGACGGAGCTCCAGTCTCTGTCCCTCGTGGCCAGCTACGGGCGCCTTGGGGAAAATGGGGTCTGTCCTAGGACGGCTGCCAGCGTTATATAGCCAGGACAGCTCTGACTGACGTCAGCGAAGAACATGCACTGATTGTAGAAACAATGACGGTCACAGCTTGAGTCCAGAGGGTTGTGAGCCCCCCAAGGGGCCCGCCTCCGGACACTACTAGACTCACAGCCTTTGGGGCAAGGCTGGAAGTAGCGGCAATGCGGCACAGGGAGTACGGAAAGAGAGACGTCGGCTGGGCATAAAGCTTACTCAGGGACACAAGAGTCTTTCACCCTACTTAGAACATTCAGTAGTGACTAGAACCATATCCCAGAATCGACTGCTCAAAAGAAGAGACTTCTCTAGCACTCGCAAGGAAGGTAAATCTCCGGGCTATCCATAGTACTGATCCTGTCCTCCCCATCTAGGAGGGACCTGAGGTACTGACAGCCTGCTGTACTGCTCTGGCTCAATCCCTAGCCCCAGCTCTGAGTTTCACAAGGGAGGCAATCAGAAGTGTGCTGCTGACACTCAGCTGTGCAATAGGACTCAGCCAGAGGAAGCTGAGGCACTGGGACAACAGCTAAAGTCTGTAGGACTCTTATCTTCCAGTCCCAGACTCTAATGTCTAGGGCTGTCTAACTAAAACACCATATGTAAGAGGGTCTCTGTCCTCGAGGTGCTTTTGACCACACACACACACACAAACAAACAAACAACAAAACCAATCCATTTACTTTTCTTTTTTTCACTTTTTATGTGCTTATTTATTTGTGTATATCTTCTTTGGTGAGGCATCTGGTTACTCTTTTTTTTTTTTTAAGTTTTTATTGTGAATTGAGTGATAGTTTACATGGGAGAACATCAGTTTTACACTCATATTTCATTTCATTGCAATGGTTACAGTCCCCTCCATGCATCATCATTCCACAGTATTTGCTTCTATTCCCTTTGTTTTTTTAATGTACACAAAAACACTCAGGAGTCATTTAAACAACCAACGGGCACATCCTGCGAGCCTACCTCTGAGCCCATCTACTTTTGAGTTGACCCAAAGTGGTAACTTAGCCAAATTTAATTTTGTCCTTGGGAACAAAAACTGCAATATTATATATATTTGACCTTCAAGTTAAGATCATTGGGTAGAAGAAAGTAAGGAAACTTGGGTTCGTATTTTTACTTTGCCACTAGCTCATGATGTGACAGACCACATTGATTTTGTGGGACTCAGTGTCCTCATTTATAAAAGAAAAATGGACTTGGCGACTCCTAAGCTTCTTTCCAGCTCTAGAAATTCTGACTCCCCAGCAGTCTTCTGATTAGCCTTACTCATTGATGCTGCAGGTCCCAGACCTTAATAACATTTACAGGGTGTAAGGGGTCCCCAAAGAGATGGAGCTATACTACGGCTATGTATGAAGAGTGGGGAGGAGTAACATTTGCTGGGATCTGGGTGTAAACTGAATCAAGACAAATATGGAGTGCCTATTATACATGTGTAGGAGTCTTGGTGTGGCACTGTGGGCTAATGCCTCAAACTGCAAAGTCGTTTGAACTGTAAGATCAGTGGTTCAAGCTCACCAGCTGTTCCTTGAAACCCTATACAAGGTCACTAGGGGTCAGAATCGCGGTGGTACTTAACAACAACAACAACAATTATACATGTGTATGTAGTAGATATAAAACTATTATAAAGGCTTCTGTGATTTAAAAAGGAATCCGTTTACACTTTACATTTACATTTAAAAGTGCTAACCTCATTAAGTTCTGACTAGCAACCCAACACCATGAAAGTGTCAAGGAGGTGGCCTAACCCATTCCAGGGTCAAGCTGCATCACTGCAAGGCAGAAACAATGGAGCGAGGCAGGCTCAGAGCTGATGTGCCTTCCAGGACAGGTAGGAGTTCCAAATAACAGCAACACACTGGACAACAGCCAACCTAAGGAACAGGGACGGCATTAAACGGAAGAGAAAAAAGATAGGGCATAGAGATGGGAAAGGAATTGGAAAGTGCAATAGGAAAGAAGGGATTATCTCTGAGAACTTCCAGCATTTAGGTCCTTTTCCTTTCGCCCTTCATGAAGGGATTGTTGGGCTCAGACAAGAGAGCCACCAGCTCAGAGTTCTGTTCTTCTGACAACAGCCTCAAAGGGTAAACACCTGCAGCACTTGTATTTCTGCGAAGCTTCCGTCTCAATTCACTTATCTGTCTGTCTTGTATGGAGTCCTGGGGGCACTGTGGGTTAGGGGTTGAGCCTGTTTGCTCCCATAAAGTTTTAATTTTGGAAACTGTAATACAGGGTCACTATGAGTTGGAATCAACTTGATGGCAGTGGGTTTGGGTTTGGTTTGGGTCTACCTTGTACCAGCTAAGATTTCATACTGCCTGCCATACAGTGTTGTTGTATGCCATTGAGTCGGTTCCTACTCATAGCAATCCTGGATTTGAATACCCAACCTTCTGGTTAACAATCCAGTGCTTATCTTTCAGCACTACACCAGGACTCTGCCATATAGCGTTGTTGTTGTTAAGTGCCATAGAGTTGTTTCTGACACATAGTGACCCTGTTTACGGTTTCTGAGGAGCAGCTGGTGAGTTTGAACCACCAACCTCGCAGTTCAAACTGACTTTGCAGTCCAGCACATTAACCCACAGCACCACACCAGAGCACTTCCTTAATTTTAAATTTATCTTGCTCTAGTTTCAAAAGTTCGTTGGTGGAGTAGGGGGTTATGTATTGGGTTGCTAGCCTCCAAGTCAGAAGTTCAAATCCACCAGCCATTTTATGGGGAAAAAATGAGGCTTTCTGCTTCCATAAAGTTTTACAGCCTTGGAAGCTCAGTACAGGGTTGCTCAGTACAGAGAAGGAATCAACTTGGCAACACATAACAAGAGGTTTCAGAGTGTTGTCAGAGGTCCTTATATTTAGGATTTGGTTCATAAATCTGGATTCTCTTTAATTAGGTTATTCATGTAATTTCTGACCATGTCCCTTTAAATAACTTCCTATTTTTTCCTATTCCCACAGCCCCCTTACTTTCCATCATTTCAACTAATCATCTTTAGTTCCACTCTGTATTTACTTATTTTGTATTACGATCCAGCAACTACCTTTCTTCTTAGGAGAAAATGATGCTTTGCAGTAGATTAATCTAACCACATTCCTACTTGTCTTTTGGGTCTGCCTTTCTGTCTAACTCAGGCTGCAGTACCCCAGGCACTGTCCCTGAGTGCAGAACACAGGTGGGATGAGGCAAGGGTTGTGGAAGCAGGATCCTCTCTAGGAAGACGAAAGAAGGTCAGCAGGTGAGACACTCTGCGTCAGTTTCAGTCATAGAGAAAGGTCCTGAATAGAATGCTTCTGAGGCGCTCTGGTCAGAGCAAAGTGTTCTGGTTGGGGGTATAACATAGGCTGAAATGAGAATCATTTGCCTCCAACTGTCCATAATATGAATTTTCTTTGAAGGGTTGAGAAGGGATCTGTCCTACCTGTAATGAAGGGGGACCAGGTAGAAGTTGGCTAACTGTACAGCAGGCCAGAGCTGTAGAAAGACAAGGTAAAGGTTGGGTGGCTGTCTTTATCACCTGACCCCCAGACTCATTGTCTTGCCTCGCCTCACCCCAACTTCTGTACTCAAGAAAAAAAGGTGAACAATTGGGTAAATGTTCCCCTTGTAGGGCCTAGCCTGGGAATGAGTGAGTCCTCCTGACTGAGGGCTTTCTATGTCAGGAGGACCCCAGGCTCTGGGCATTTCTGGACTTCAGGAAGTAGGATACAAGCAGTTGAGGCATCAGCTCTTACATAGTAGTTGGTGATGAGGGCATCCGGATAATCCTGAGAAAACAGAGAAGAACAAATGAGCTTTTCCACTCCCAAGCAGTTCCCACCTCCCAGTTTGAATGCCACACAAAGATGCCAATTCAGAGAGCATACCCTGCTCCGCACTGCCCTCCTCTCCTACCGAGCCTGGGGCTTTCCCTATACTTTCACCTTTTGTGTCCCCATGAAGCCTGCCTTATGCCTAACACTGCCAACCTGCCAGCCAGCCAACTTCCCACCTGCCCAGCTCACCCTCTGGAGTTTAGACCAGTTGTCCTGGGCTGACAGTCCATTGAGTGTCCCAACCAGTGGGAGAAAACAGCCTAGAAAACATGGGGCAAAGCCTCCCTAGGCAAATAAATAAATAAATAAAAGCTTTGTGAGCATGGAGTTCAGAAATAAGTATCTCTAAATCCCTATTTTCTCCCACCACAGTTCACCCTTCCCAGCTCCCTTTTCTTCCTGCTCACCTGATCCAATAGCATCTTCTTTAGTGCATCTACCTTGGTGGTGCCAGGGATGAGCCGATCCAACACCTTGTACCAACCTCCTACTACAGGGGCCTGAAAGTAAACCCCAGATCAGGGGATGCAGGTGCGGTGAAGAGAGTAACTGGCTTTTAAATCACAAATTTCTCCAAGGATTAGAAACCAAATTCCAGGAAAAGCAGAGACTCAGGCAAAAGAGAAAGGCAGGTGGCATAGGTGTGAAAGAGGTGAAAGGAAACCAAAGGATGATATGGTACTAAGACCATTGTCCAATCCACTGGCAGCTTTGCTGTGGACAGAACTTACCACAAAGCCACAGCCCAGAGATACCATGGTCAGGGTCCGGCTGGCCTGGTGGTCCTGAAGACCCCGCCTCTCCACCAGCTGCTGTGAGATAACATCACCCAGGCCCATCAGGGACCCTGTGCAGGGTACATAGGGGTTATCAGGACAGCTCCAGAGGATGCCAGTGTTTCCGAACAGTCTCATCTGGGCTTCCATTCCAGGAGGGAAGCAAGTCTACTAGCTGAAGGAGGGGCTTGTGATTTGTATCCTGAGCCCACAGGCTTAACTATAGGGGCAAATCACCAGTCCCTTCCTGCTGCCTGAAGGCGCTCCTCTCCCAAAGGATGGTGACCAAATGTGTGGCCTGCCAGACACTGGGAGGAGCAAGCTATGAGCAGACCAGGGCCCAAGAGCTCTGAACTATAAAGGAGACAGAGTCAAAATCTGTAGACAGGTTGGAGAATCCACGGCCCCGGAGTTGGAAGGGGCCTGCTAGATCATTTCATCCAAACCCCTTCGTTACAGATGTGGAAACAAAAGTCCAGAACCTCACACAACCAGTAAGTGGCAGAATCAGGTTCTTCCCAACACCCCACACAATGAACAGATCCTTGGCAGATAGAAAGGAACTCTGGCTCCCCTCTTCCACCCAGTCCCTGGTCCAATGCAAGACCCTAACACCCTTCACTTTGGTCCTGGGTTTCTATTTGTAGAAAACAGCGAAGATAATTCTTCTTTTTAAAGAACTATGAACACTCAAACCATCCCAGGCAGGAAGATGCCTGGTTGAGCTGCTAAGAGTCTCTCCCAAGGAAGAGTCCTGGCTACCTTTTAGCATAAACCCAGCTAACCAGACCTCCTCATTCACAACTGCAGAGTGAGGTGGCCATGGGTATCATAGTCTTTGCCCTGTTATTACAACTCCCCTTGCCTGCAGACCACCCACACCCAGAAACCAGGACAGAAATCACTATTTACAGAGCCCCTCAATAGTTGTGGTGGCATGATGGCTTCTAGCAAAACACACAGTTACAAGGCCACCTGGAGACTGACCATCTGATCCCCAGCTGGCCTGCCTATCTCACTGAGTAATGAGAGTACCCCCTCCAGCCCTGTAGCCACCATGCCCCTGTGCCCTCCATTAGCACTGGGCAAACACATCCTTCATCCTCATTCCTTGGCTAGGCTGGTTCTGACGTCCATCCATGCTGGCGGCACATTCACTGCTCTGCTCTTCCCCCACATCCAGGGCATAGCCCTGCCCCCAAGGCACTAGTCAGAGGCAGCTGGGAGCGGCTAGGTGCTAGGGCTGGAGCATCCATAGGTGACGTGGGCTGTTGGCCTCAGCTGCTGGCACTCCCAGCCATGGAGCAGCTCGAGGCTGCCCCAACATACACATCAAGGCAGCTCTGAACCTCTCAGAGGGACAGAGGTTCTTCCCATAACCTAAAGGGTAAGGGTAGGATCCCAGACACTGCTCTTCTCTTATCCCCCACCATACCTAATCCAGTCCCTGGCAAGGGCTCAAAAACCAATGAAGGAATAATGTCAAATTTACCACCCCAATGACCAAGACTGCTTTGAGGAGGGCTATGAAGAACCCTTAAGTTAAGCCCAAAGGACCACACGTCACACTCAAGGTGTGAGCACTATACAGAACTTGAAGTCTTGCTCCTCTATCCCCGCCCTGTGCACTTAGCACTTACTTCCCCTCCTTCACAACCTGGGGTCACCAGTGCTACTCAGGCACACGAAAGAGCTGCTAGAGCCATGCATAAAGGACAGGATGTCCATATGAAGGGTTGGGAATGATGGAACAGAAAGGGCAGTCAGTTTCTAAAGGAGGAGACCAGTTACTTTGGCAAAACATTTACCAAGAGCTCTTCTATGTTCTATCTTCACAAAAGGCCATGGAGGTTGGTTTAATGATAAGGAAAGGGAAAGATGAGGTGACTTGGTATGGAGTTGAGTTGGGAACTGAAGCTTCTGTGGCTGCTCCTCTGCAGGGGGTTCCTGCCCAAACAAGGTGCTGTGAAGGGCCCAAAAAGCAAAGACACTTTCTGGATTAATTCAGTTTCTCTATTTTACTCCCCTTAATGCATGCACCTCTGTTGCTTATCACCTTGTAGGGAGCACAGGCAGTAATATTCCCATTTCTCCATTTGACCAGGAAAGACTCACACAAAAAGGTGGGTATTTTCACTTTTCTTGGCTTGCCAGCAGCCACACAGCAAAACAGACAGAGCAAAATGAAAACCCAAGCCCTTGACTTCTAGCTCCAGAGTTTTGGAAGCCTCAGTCATTGAGACAAAGTTGGATTCTAGGCCTCACAAACCATGTCCGTGAGCTTGAAGATTCTGAAGTGATGGGGCAGCAGGAAGGAGGGAGTGGGGGTAGGTCTGTAGCTGTCACCCTGGTGGTTCTGTTCATTTCAGATGGAGCAGTGTCCAGAGGCTCCTCTTTGGTCCACAGATGAAGCCCCTAGGCTTTCTAAATCTTTGGTCCAACACACAACAAAGCTTGCATTTCTGGTCCAAGCAATCCTTCATGCAGGAAGGGCTCCGACATTCACATTCTTCACCCTGCCTTCTCCAACTGAGAGCCCAAACAGACCCACATCTCCCAGTACTCTGGAATCTTCCTGAACATTCTTGGTTAGTCTGCATGGCTTAGTGCTCTCAACCTGGGGGTTTGGCTAGCTTCCGGGGGTGGAAGCCTACAAAGACACAGTACCCAGGGCCTTGATGGGGTAGCACGAGGGGCTGCCAGGCAGTAATGCCCCACTGCCAGGCTGGGCGCAGAGCCCAGCGGACAGACGCTGGCGCGGTGTGACATCATGCCCCTGGGTGGGTGCCAGCTCTCATGCCGTCACTCACCACCAGATACAGTGGAGTAGGGGGGTGTAGAGACTGTCTCTGAGCACAGATCTATTTGGGACCACTCCTGCCCACTAGTGGAAAAGTCCCAGCTCCTATACTCTGTTCCCAGGGTGAGAGTAAATTCCCACTTCCTTAATTTTGTTCCTCTTCCGGCTTTTGTGTGTGGATCCTTAGGTGTAAGAAAAGAAAGCATTACCGGAAGATGAGAAGGCAGAGGAGCAGGTTGTGTGCAGGAGGCCTGGGTAGGCAGGTATACCCTCTGGCACAGAGCCTGCAGTGCTGGTGGACTCATTCCATCCACATTAAAAGAGTGCCTGGGGTGGGGGCTTGGTCTGACACAAAAGCACAAAGGGAGCTGAATCCCAGAAGTTAGTGGTGAATTCACACCACCCACTGGGTGTCAGACCTGCTTTCCATTCCTGGCCTGACCCCATCAACTGCTGGAAAATGAGCCACGATGGATGGTTGTGCAGCTTGTCAGGTATCCAGGTCTAGACCAGCTGGGGCCACACTCAGCACTCTGAGACCTCAGCAGTCTCCAGCACAGGGTAGGGCAGTGCAGTGGGGGTGCCCTAGGTTTATGGCCAGCTCTACCACCAACACCTGAGATCTTAGGGCATATCATCCATCCATTGCCTCAGTGTCCTTCTATATTATCAAGTGCTGGACTGGATGGCCTATAATGTTTGTTGAGTGCTCACAGCCTACATTCAGACTCCAGGGAGATCAGTGCCTATAGCTCATCTGTCCCACTGCAGGACTGAGGGGTCTCAGATGGGTGGAGCTGGGACCTGGGGCCACTGGAGACTGGAAGAGCCCTCAAGAAGATAAGAACAACTCAGATTCTCTATAGAACAGGCAGTGGATCCTCCTCCAGGATACTTTTTCTTGACTCTTGACTCAGCCAAACTGGGAGGATCAGACACTTTTAATGAACCATTTCAGATCTTCTTGACTCACCTCTGTCTCTTCCTCCAGCTAGGATTGAAGTTCAACTCGAGAGGTCCTTGCCTCAAGCCTACCATACCTGGCTTCAATGTTGATGCCTTTCTTGGGGACACCATAGCAGTTCCACCAGATGCCACCTAGATGTACATTTTGATAACCAAAGTTACCATCCCCAGGGGGTGAACCTTTGGCCTGTGTGGGATGGGAGCCAGTGGATAAAGCGTTCTTCTTTTCTCCATACAGATACTCCCAAGACACAATTCATAGAGCTTCTCAGACTAAGAGATTAAACAACCAGCTTATTCTTATTGTTGCCATAAAGTGCTGGTAAGTCGGTTCCAGCCATAGTGACCCTGTATAAGGTTTACGAGGCATGGCTGGTAAGCTTGAACTGCCAACTTTGCATTTCAGACTTTGTAGTCCAGCACATTAACCCACAGTGCCACACAATTTGATATGTATTCTGTTTTGGCTCTCGCTCCTCCCCTCCATGGGATCATGCCTTTACAAAGTACCAGAATATAAGCTTCTAGCTCTGTTTTAGGGGGAACCAAAACTACTTACCCATGTTCAGATCTGTAGCAAATAGAAAAAAAAAAAACACAAAAAACTAATCCAAGCACCTCTAGGAAAAGAATAGCTTCTTATACCTGGGTTACCAGCACTCATTGAAAGAGTCCACCCCTTGAACCTTCCTGTTAAGAACAATTTTTGACTTCCAAAGTCTTATTACAGATGTAATCTCCACAATGACCCTGTGAGGTAATATTACTAAACCCAAGTTCTAAACAAGGAAACTGAGGCACAGAGTTTACTGACATGTCTTAGATCATGAAGCTAATAAGTCCAATGGTCAGATTCAAGCCTTGGGCATCTAACTCCAACTTTGAAATCTGTGCTGTATTTTCCAATCTGATGAGCTGTCCCGTGGGACTTTAGGAACTACTACTGGCTGTAGTCCAAATACAGCTTGATGAGTTAAATCTAGATTGCTTTTATTTGTACTTGATCCTAATACACTGAGTAGCAGAAATGGAAAAGTCCAAAGTGTTTGGACAAGCCTGAAAAAGTGCTACCTAGGGGGCTGTAGGCTATTTCAGGGCTGGGTTGAACCGCTGGCACAGCCTCAGGGGTGTGGTCAAAGTGCTTAAGCTCAGACAGGTTAGAGCCCCACTTCAGTCACCGATCTGCACTTAGGACCCCTTGGAGATCTAGTTCCTGCCCCCATCAGCTTCGAGTTCCTTGCAACAGGGAACACAGGCCCTCCCTATTCTTGATGGCCACGAGGGGACCTTCCTTTTAGCAGTCATCGGCCCTGAGGGAATCTGAGGCTGGGCAAAGGGCCCAGCCTGTCAGTTCCCATCACAGCCACACAGTCCAGCATGAGTCACCACACACGCAGCCAGGTGAGTCATGCAGGTTGACGGACACTCTGAGGACAGGACATGGGGTGGCTGGGCACAGGAAGCTAGAGAGGAACCCAAGGAGGGTCAAGAGTCCATTGTCTGACCAGTCATCCAGTGAAGTTTCTTGTGCTGATGCAGGGCTATTCCAGTAATGGGATCTCTGTTCATCCTGACTTTCAGCAGTATCACCCCAACCCCATACTACTGCAACAGTTCTCCCACCAGAAGCCTATGCTCCTCACTAGAATCCTCCCTTCCTCTAAACATAGGCAAGACTCCATCTTAACCCAACTACTTCTTGTACTGGCCAACACTCACAGGCATTCTACTCCTTTCCCCAATACAACCTGCTGATCCTTGCGCCATCCCCTTAGGTTAGCTAACCTGCTAAACTGAAGATGTTAACAGACACACGTTAAGTCAATGGGTTACCATTGCTAATTTGCTACTCGGTCACTGGATTTGGAGTAAAAAATACAAAAACAAAAACTTTGATTAGAATATTGTTTGAAACACATACATAATGGTAAAACTATGAAAAGCAAGAATAAACAGAACTCAGGAATCCATCTCTTGAAGTGTGTGAATTAGGGAGAGGCACTCAAGGGGTCTCAAAACTGGATCCTGAAACAGTTTTAGTTTAGTTTTCATACTATTTAAATGAGATGTCCATGTCTTAATTATTCTTTTGTATGTTAAGATATATTCTCAATAAACAAATGCTAAGAGACATAGACTGGGGGCAACAGTCCTGATTTCAGCACTTATTAAAATGTGTGTGATCTAATGCAGTCTCAAGAAATCCTACCTAACAAACCTTCCTGGAGGCCCTGTGAGAAAATGTGTGACAGTGCTTTGCACATTGTAAATTGTTAGTTTTCTAAATTGAGACCATGTCTAACCTGTTTTTTAAAGACTTTCAGATCCTACTTCACAGCTAGGCCAACTAAGCAGACATCCCCTTTTCAGAACAACGTGAAGAAAACCCACCCTCCAAAGACTACGTACAGCTTAGACTAAACTAGTCCTTAAATAGGGGGGTTCAGTAGGACTGGCATCTGCCTCTAAAATCACCCTGCTTTGGTCCCACTCTGGTCCCAGAGGGGCACTCACCGGCTGTCAGGACCTGTACTTTCCACGGGTGAGCAGCTAGGGCGCGCTGGTATGCCCGCCAGAGTGCCATGCTTCCTGTCAAGCCAAAAGGAGAAGGGGTCACCCCTATTACCCCTCCCCTCAATTAAGGAGAGTCCTGACTATCCTCTTGTATCCATTCCCACTTCCCATATCCCGCTCCCAAACTATCCTAATGGGGCAAAAGCCTCAAGAGGGATGCTTCCTGCAGTTACCTGTAACAGGGACCATCTTAGACAACCAAGGAAAACTGTACCCAAAAATCTGAGTGGCAGCCTTCCCACTCCAAGCACTGGAGCGGGACCATCTCGATAGGACAGGCTTGCTTTGGCTTCCACACAGAGCCTGGGTCCCCAGATTCAGACTCAGTTGGAAGCTGCCCTCATCCTTCCTGAATCAAACTCAACACCAGGTATTGGAACCGTGATTCCCCGAGCCTGGAATGACCACATGCTTTATGAACACGAACGACGCTTAGCGTTGATGACCACGGCGCACCTGCAACTCACCAGACCTGAAGCAGCACCTCTCGCGTGACGTAATTCGGTCGCCGGATTTCCGGCGTAAGCCACGCCCCTTCCTCCCGGCTGGCCGCAACCAGCCAATGGTCATTTTTCCCTGCAGCTGTTGGCTGAGCTGGGAACGCCCATGGCGATACGCAGCTAATACCCAGCTCGGCCATCCACCGCATGAGCAACTCCCTTTCCAGGTGAACTGTGACTATTTTGGTGTAGGTCCCCTTGCTACCTTCGCTCCTGTGTCCAGGACCTCTTAATCTGGGTGCACCTCCCCACCCGGGCCAAGGTCTTTCAGTTTCAGGAAACTATAGAGAAACAAGCGCGCAATTTGGTTCGCGTTTCTAGGCTCTTCAGTACCCTAATTGTGAGCTCCTGAATGGGTAGAACCGGGTCTTGTTCATATTTGCCATGCCCGTATTTACTGTTCTAGTGCTCTAGTGCTTTTTCCACAATAGGTTATTTAGAATTACTGTTACTAAAGTCGTTTGAACTGCAAGGTCGGTGGTTCAAGCTCACCAGCTGCTCCTGGGAAACCCTACACAGGGTCGCTATGGGTTGGAATTGACTCGATTCGACAGCACTTCACAACATACCATCGAAAACAACCGAATTACAGAACCTCAGGAAAGAGTTTAGGCCTTTAACAGACTGCGCAGCCTTGGTCATCATTGGATTTGAGTTTAAGATTTCTCATCTGTAAAATGCCAGAATACGTCTTGCAGAGTCCTTTGTTACGTGTGCTGTGGGGAGGAGGTTCTGCCATAACTGTTGTTTTTATCATACTTCTAGAACCATTTAAATGGGCCCAAACTTCTTAAAATTAGGAGACCATATGACTTCTTTATCATTTTCTAAAACACTCTAAGATTCTGTAAATACACACCATACTGCTATTTAGTGCCATCTAGTCCTGCTGTGGGTTAATGCGCCAGACCGCAAAGCCGTTTGAACTGCAAGGTCGGCAGTTCAAGCTCACCAGCTGCTCCTTGGAAACCCTATAAAGGGTCGCTATGGGTCAGAATTGACTCGGCGGCACTTAAGTTGGTTGACTAGAGGTCTGGTAGCGTAGTGTGGTTACAAACTGGGCTGCTAACCTCAGGATCAGCAGTTAGAAACTACCAGCTGCTTTGCAGGAGAAATATGAGTTTTTTGCTCCTGTAGATTTACAGCCTCGGAAACCCTGTGCAGGATCACTGAGTTGGAACCAACTCCACATAACACGTTGGTTGAATTAGGAGCTCTGGTAGCATAGTGGTTACAAATCGCGCTAGGAACCTTAAGGTCAGCAGTTCGAAACTACCAGCTGTTCTGCAGGACAAAGATGAGGTTTTCTGCTCCTGTAAAGATTTAGTCTCAGAAACCTATACAGGTTGCTGAGTCAGAACCAACTCCTTGGCACATAACCACCATCACTACCACTTGGTTGACTCACAGCACTCTATGTAGGGTTTCCAAGGAGCAGTTAGTGAGTTTTAACCCCTGACCTAGGGTTGTAGAAATTCTTACAGTATCCCTGGAGTCGGATTTGTCAGGCTGGCAACATTCCCAACCCCTTTCAGGTTCTCTACATCTCTAGCTTCAGCCCCAATTGACCCAGTTCCTATGATTAAGGCAGGGAGAATATACCAAAAAGCTTCTATATACAAACTGCCAAGCTGGAGGAGTTAAGTTTACATTAGCAAATAAAATAGGACATGACTGTGGTAGGTTTGGAAGTTGAGGGAAAAGAGACTTATGTCAGACTGTCTGGGATCAAAAACAAGTGCCATTGTTTTGTAGTTATGTGACCTTGTTCACGCTGCTTACTGCTCAGCTACTTTAAATAGGGCAGTATTTACCTCATCTGATTAACGTAGCATACCAAATGCTTAATATTTATCCCTTGTTCCTCCTGCCCCCTGAGGAATACACAGGAAAGTGAATTCTTAATGGAGAAATCTGGGAAAGCTCTTTGGTCAAAGTAGAATTTCAGCTGAGTCTTAAAGGATAAATGACTTCCATGGAGGTGGAAAAGGACAATCTTAGAGGAGGGAATAGGAGTCCTGGTGTAGCATTGTGGGATAATGTACTGGACTGCAAGATCAGTGGTTCAAACTCAACAGCTGCTCCTCAGAAATGCTATACAGGGTCACCATGAGTCATAAATTATTAGATGGCACTTAACAAGAGGAGGGACTAGTGCAAACAAAGGCAAAAGTGGAAAAGGCAGGAACCAATAGCTAGATGATGAATATCCTGGGAGGTTTGTAAGTGGAAATGACCTGCAGAGAAATTTTTATGATAGAGAAAAAGAGCAAGGCCTGAAAGCAGCCTCCTGATTTTCTTTTGGAGGCTGAGATCAGGGCTGACTTAGCAGCAGAAGTTGGGCTGTCAACACCAATCTACAGCCTTAACAGTGTGGGTCCCCAGTGGGATGGAAATCATGGTGTAATTTCAAGGGGCTACTATGGAAAATAAGCAAAGCTTCTCTACCCAGGAAGGCCCTTGTCTATCAGTTAGTTCAGAAAACTTAAAGCTACAATCTAGCCTGGAGGCCCAAATAGGGTGGGGCCAACACTTGGCTCTTTGCAGTGACTTGGATTGCGGGTCCGGCTGATGTTAATTATGAGTTGTTTTTCTTTTTGTGAACACAGAGGGGACTGAACTTCTTGATTCTTATCCTCTTAAAGGTGAGTTCTAGACATGATAAATTTCCTGCTCTGGAAAAGCAGAAAGCTGTTCCCACATATTCGGATCAGTCTAAAACACCAGCAGGTTTTGTTCTTGGTAGGCACTTAAGTAATCTCTACTCCTCCCTCCAGTAGGAGCTGGCTGCCTACTTTTTTCTACTTCACGTGGCCACCTACTTCTCCCCCAAAACCCTGGCTTATACTCACGCCTACATCTCATTGCTGGAGTCCGACTGTTTTTACTTAGAAGATAATATTATGAACCTGCAGCTTTCCACAAAAAGACAATAGCAAGATGAACTATAAGAAGATATAAACTACTGTACTTGGGTTCTGAACATTCCTATTTACACAGAGCTGAAATTGAGTGTCTTCACATGTTTAATAAGTCAACAGTGTGACAGTTATCATTAAGGATCAAAAATCATGACGTTTGTAAAAGAATGGTTGAAGTAACTGAAGATATTTAATCTAGAGAAGAAAATACTTGGGAAAACACATGATAGCTATTGTTAAATACTTAAAAGGGCAATCACAAGGAAGGATGACTAGATTTCCTAACACCAACCAATGGGTAAAATTTAGAAGTATACGCTTTGACGATATAAAGGAAGATCTTTTAAAACATGACTGTCTAGGAGTGTTCAAGTAGGGTCAGATGACCAGTGGCCAGGAATATTATCATAAGCAGGAGCAAGTAAGATCTGAGTCACTGTTCTATTGGTAGGGTGTTTGTGGTGTTCCTCCACTGAAGAAATACTATAAGCAACTTCTGGCCAATAAATTACTAATCACCCTTCATAGGCCTGTATGTTGGTTACTGTAAAGAGAAGTTTTGGGAAGGCAGTAACACTGGATTCCGAAATATAGTCAGACAGGTGCCTTCATGCAAATACCCTTTCCAATTCTCCAAACACCCACTCACATGTGATCTCAAAACACCCAGTACCTTTACTTGGCTTTACCTACTTCACAATATGCTCAATATGAGCAATTTGGCTCCCAAGCCTAGGTCAGGCCTGAGTGTTTCTGGTGAACCAGTTGTAGGCTGAGGAGCCTTGAGAGTTCATGGAGGGAGAGTCCCCCTGCCCACAGGAGGCTGTGTCATAGGAGAAGTCTGTAGAAGGAGAGGGTTCTAAAGAGTCCTGGGGAAGCAGACCTGGGCAGCGAAACTGTCCAGGAAGGCCCCAGTTCCTATGGCTCTGTGCCTGGGGACCATTTGTTCTTGAAAGACCTTCATTCCAAGGGTCCTGTGTGGACTAAGACTAGGGACTGGGCAGAAGGCAATGGCTAGTTGGAGGAAAGCCAAGCCCATCGGTGGGGTAAGATAGTTAGAACATAGCATTGAACTGTGCTTGGCTTTCAAGCTGCATACGGTGGCCCAATGGAGAGGTGAGTCCACGGACAAAATGGATCCGAACCAGCCCTGACTGCCCCCCAGATATCAGCCATCCATAGGAGTCCAGGTTTGGGCTGAAACGTACCTGTGAGAAGACAAAAGAGACATGCCCACAATTGGTGCTTTGAGTGAGTCCCATCTAATGAACAAAAAGGTCACAATCTGAACAAAGGATAGGGTCATGATGAGTTGGAGAGGAAGGAATGAGGACAAGACAACGAATGAGGAGGACAGGTTGCCAAAGCAGTGTTCTTTTCTTAGTTAACATTTGATCACAGGTCTAGAGTCAAAGGAATATGAAAGAGGAGGGGAGAGAAGACGAGAGGCAAGGTTCTTACCTTATGAATAGCCTCCAGCTGCAGCCTGTCCAGGCAGAGCTGAGACTGCCCCTCTCTCTCCTGCATGCGTAGCATTGGTTCCCTACGAAGCAGATTGTGAAACGAACCCTGGAGGAGGAAGAAAGTAAGCAGCATCTTAGTAGCGCATCTTTGTGTTCAAACTCCTTAGGGTTCCCTACTGTACAAGGATTAAAGGTTTCTAATCTTGGTGTGGTGCTGTGAGCTAATGCATCAGACTGCAAAGTCATTTAAACTGTAAGGTCGGTGGTTCAAGCTCACCAGCTGCTCCTTGGAAACCCTATACAGGGTTACTATGCGTCGAAATCGACTCGATGACACTTAACAACAACAAGGGGTGTGGACCCATTCTCCTGGCCCCAACTTACCAAATCGGTGTCTTGAAAGAGCAAGTAGTGATGGCTCACAGTTTCAGCATAAGTTCGAGCCTTGGGAGGGTTGGGGGCCTCAGATGTAGCAGAATAGCGGTCTTGATCTTCAGGGCTGTCCTGATACGCAATCAGATCCGCTTTATATACAGGCTAGAAAGGAGATCAGGAAATTAGGTTCTATAACAACAACAACAACAATATTAAAGAGAGAATAAAGGTAAGGAGAGAGGAAACTGGTTTAGGGCAAGACAGACTGAAATATGAAAGGCTAGTAGTAGGTTCAAACTAAGGCTCAGATGCATTAGGATTAGGAATATTATACACAAATCTGTGCTAAAACTTTCAGGGATAACATCAGGGCTGGGTACTACACTACCAAGCATTGGGAAAGCATGTGGATTAGAATCCAACAAATGGTGCTGCCACCAGATATTCATATACGTACGAATCTTCGCTCTATAGGCCGCTTGACATTTATTGGGTTCAGTGCCAAATCGGGCATTACAGCTGCAATGAGCTCCCCAGATATATCTCCTGCCGCTACTGCCCCAAGCCAGTCTGATCCTGAAAGACTCTAATAAGAAGAGATAGATTTCATTCATTTATTCAGTTTTGTCTAAAGGGACACACATGCACACAGGTGCACACACACACCCATGTCCCTGATGATACCACCCATCCGCTCAGAATGACTACATCTTCTTTACCACCACCAGGTGATGAAGAGTTTCCAATCTGATGAAGAACTGTGAAAGTGAGAGGACTCACCCAGACTGTGCCTTTTCGGGGAGCAGTAAAGTAAGCTTTGAAACCAAGGTAACCAGCATCAATATAATGAATTCCACAGAGTCCATAACTGTAAGACAAAATGAAATAAAACCTTCCTTTTATAAAACTAAATTCATTTCTTCTCCCCAGTCCTTCTAGAATTCAAATAATTTCAATGAAACAACTCTCAACCCTCCTCCCCCCACAAGAATCTGACACCCATTGCAATGGCCTATCCCCAGAGCTATCTTCATCCTTGCGTACGAGGCATAACAGTTGTCCTGTGCCACAGTGACACCATTGTAGGGGAGCAGCCAGACCAGTTCTGTACTCAGGAAGCGCTTGATGCAATTTATTGGCTCATAAGGTCTTCGAAGGTCCCAGAATTTGATTTTCCGATCACATCCAGCAGAGACTAGAAAATGACTACAAAAGACAAGATATCAAATATAAACAAATTTGGAAGGGTCAACCTGCCCCCAATCTTTACCTTCCATCTGCACAACTCCTAACTCTGTACCTGTTAGCTTTGCACCATTGAAGATTACGCACAGCCTGGTCATGGGCTAGGAAACATTGGAAGGGGTAGAGCTTCAAGGAACCATCAGACAGCCGTATCTGCTGCAGGGGTGAGTTAGTGGGAAGGTTCCAGAAAACCACCATGCCTGAGGTAGATACAGAATGTGTAGGCATTAAAGATAGGTTCTCTTGTCTTTGCTCTAATTTCTCTCTCTGGGTTCAGGCAGATAGAACAGATGAAGATGAAAGGCTATAGGTATGATGAATAGCTACCCAACATTCCCTCCACTATATAACTAGTCCCAATTTTCATCAATAAAAAAGTGCTAGCTGAGTCTGGAACTGGCAGTTAAAGATGATAGGCTGAATGTTGTTAAGTGCCAACAAGTAGTTCAAACTCATAGCAACCTTGTATAGGGTTTCCAAGGAGCGGCTGGTGAGTTTGAACTGTTCACCTTGTGGTTCAAACTGACCTTGCAGTCCAGTGTTTTATCCCACAGTGTCATACCAGGATTCCGATATGTTGAATGGACCCTACTAAATGAAAGTACAGGGATTTTAAAAAGGCAACATCCTCTAAGGCAAAAGCTGACCAACTACAGCCCATATGCCAAATAAAGTCTTCCTCCTCTTTTGGTAAATACAGGTTTTATGGAACACATCCAGACCCATTCATTTACCTATGGCTTTCCTCTTCTAGTGACACAGTTAACAGTCCCGACAATAGCCAGATAGCTCACAAAACCTAAAATACTTCCTACCTGGCCCTTTACAAAAGAAGTTTGCCAACCCGTGCTCTAAGACAAAACCAGTAAGGAACCCAGAGCAAGTGTACAGGACTAGAAAACAAGTGGACAAAGAGAAACTAATCTCACTGACCCAAAAGTTAAATGAAAGATTGGTAGAGGGAAGGCAACAAAGGTACAATTATGGTAAAAATAAAAAGCAAAGATATAAAAATTTAAAAATAGATAGAAACAAATTTGCAGTACATGGAATTAGAAAGCACCAACAATCCTATTATGCATCAACTCAGAGAATGTAGCATCTATGAGCCGTTATTAAAGAAAACTCATTAAGAGCAAATTGCAGCTTGATTCTACTATTGGCAACCCCCTCATCTGTGCAGAACAGAACTGCTCCACAAGGTTTTCCAAAGCCTTTCAGAAGCAGAATGCCAGTCCTGTCTTCCAAGGTGCCTCTGGATGAGTTGAACCATCAACCTTTCAGTTAGTGGTCAAGCAATTAAGTGTTTTGACTTTTGTGACATCCAGGGAGTTCTTGAATTACAGCAAGAAATATAAATAATTCAGCAGTGAAGGAGGATATTAAAATAAAAGAATTGGCATAGATAATCACTTACAGAATTAAGAATACGTTAACACTGAGAATTAAGTTAGCAGAACAGTTATCGTGTGTCATGTACCTTAACAATATAAAAATATTACCAAGAGAAAAACAATTGAAGACAGAGAGATAAGAAGTGCCAAAGTGTAAATATCCTTATTTTCCTAGCAGGGAGTCTAGGGACAGTGTCTAAAAAGGAAATTGTCATTTAACCACTATCACCACAAAGAATACAGGGTTGTATTCTTTCACCATACTTATTCAACCTATATGCTGATTAAATAATCTGTGCTGGGTTATATGAAGAAAAACGTGGCATCAGGATTGGAGGAAGACTCACTAACAACCTGTGATATGCAGATGATACAACATACAACCTTGCTTGCTGAAAGTGAAAAGGACTTAAAATACTTACTGATGTAAATCAGAGAGCACAGCCTTCAGTATGGATTGCATCTCTATGTAAATAAAACAAAAATCCTCACCACTGGATCAATAAACAATATTCTTATTAACGGAGAAAATATTAAAGTTGTCAAGGACTTCATTCTTCTTGGATCAACCATCAACACTTATGGAAGCAGCAGCCAAGAAATCAAACAACATATTGCATTAGATAAATCTGCTACACAAGACCTTTTTAAACTGTTGAAGAGCAAAGACCTCAGCTTGAGGACTAAGGTACTCCTGACCCAAGCCATGGTATTTTCAATAACCTCATATGCATGCGAAAGCTGGACAGTGAATAAGGAAGACAGTAGAAAAACTGATGTATTTGAGTTATGGTGTTGGAGAAAAATATTGAAATACCATGGGCTGCCAAAAGGACAAACAGATCTGTGTTGGAAGAAGTACAGCCAGAGTGCTCCTTAAAGGCCAGGATGGCCAAACTTCGTCTCTCATACTTCAGACATATTGTCAGAAGGGGCCAGTTGCGGGAGGAGGATATGTTTGGTAAGGTGGAGGATCAGAGAAGACGAGGAAGAACCCCAACAAGATGGATTGGCAAAGTAGCAACATCAATGGGCTCAAGCATGGCAACAATTGTGAGGTTGGCCCAGGACTGGGCAGTGTCTCATTCTGCTGTGCACAGGTTCACTATGAGTTGGTACCAACTCAATGGTACCTAACAGCAACAACCACAACCTCACTAGCACCATCTATTTAATGTTATTTATAATCTTTATTTATTTATTTAAAAAATATCTTAGGGAACAAACCAGTATCTCTGTGGTGAAACTTACTAGGAGATACCCTTTCTTTCAGTTTTACTTCAGTGTGTTTTCTTTCATAAAATTAGAATAAAATTAAATCAAGTACCTTTTCATTCAAAATTGCTTATATAATGTGATCTAATTTTTTATATATTTCTATTTCCACCTAGGGGTCCTGGTGTGGTGCTGTAGGATAAACACTAGGCTGGTAACCACAAGGTTGGTGTTTCAAACCCACCAGCCACTCCTTGGAAATCTATAGGATCGTTATGTATAGGAATCAACTCAACTGCACTTAACAACATCATTAATCTTTATATCTTTATAAAAACTACATGAAATTACGTTTATCTAATTTTAATTAGTTTTAAGAGTAAAAAAAAATTTTTTTTAGTGACTTTTTTGGACTTTTATGTTGTTTGAATATTTTAAACTAATAAATAACCAGCACTGGACCAAAAAAAGAACAACCAAAACCTTGACTATGTAAAAAGTGATAAAGCAATTAACTCTTCAGGTTTTGCTTGTACATTTACCATTATAGTATCCAGCAGCCAGATGGTGGTGGGGCCGGGTGGGCATCCAGGCCAGGCTAAGGCACTGGCCGCACTCAGAGGAATCTGGAAATTGCACAGACCCCACCTGAAGGGTTGCCACGCATTCTACCTACGGGGGCACAGGAGACAGGACTGAAGTTAGAGTTACATACTATTTAATCAAACAGAATGGGGAAAAGTTTCAGAGCAAGATAATCACTGGGGAATCAGCAGAGGGAGCCAAGCTAAGATAGTAAGTTCCTCACTCACCTTAAAGATGGCTGACTTCATCACATCTGTGAGGGAAGAAGAGCAGTAACGGATGCTGTAATCCTAACCAGGCCTTCCATCAGGCCCTGCTCTTACACCAGCCTCCCCTACCCTTAGCCTTTGGAAAACAACTCTCTCTTTACACTTGTCGAGAAAGTGCTTTCCTTTCTACCTTTAAATTTACAAACCCACATACAGCTGGCACCATCCTCTTCCCTTCTACTACACTTGATCGTATGTATCCGTCCTCCTATGAAAATAGCTAATCCCATCTGCATTCTCAGCTTTTCCAGAATTTTGCTCATTTGTTTATTTCTCCTTTATTACCCATCTTTACCTCTCTCCTGGATCATTCGCATATTCACATGTAAACATAAAGCCGCCCCAAACCCTTTATTCCATATTCACTTCTAGTCAATACCCTCTTATATTTTGTTTTATACTTCTTGAAAGAATTAACACACTATTATCTTTACTTCTTCATGTCCTAGTCCCTCCCAACCTACTTCTCCTCTACCAGATAGATGGCCAAGTATGGAACTTCCTAGGGCCCAAATTTGGATGCTCTGTATTTAAAATATGTTGAAAAAGACATAAATACAACAAATAGGAGTTGCTCTTTCTTGACTCCTTCTTCTTTTACTCATGTTCAGCTCTATATTCTTTCTCTCTCTTTTGCAACAAAGAAAATTATGTGCCTGTGTATATGTGTGATGGTGAGGACAGGAGAGGACAGGAACAGGTTTATGAGCAGTAAGAAGAGTACAGAAAGGTACTTTCTGTCAGCCCCAGCCCTTAGTTGCTCTTTACACAGCTAAGTATCTGTGGCAGCAAGAGAAGAGCCTGAGAACACAGAGGGAGGAGAAAGGAAATAAGATAATGAGCTGAAAAAGTGCAGTTTTAAGACTGAAGAACTAGATGGTGCCCAGTATCACTACCAACTGCTATGAAAGCAATCACATTAGAAGGTCGCTGACAGAATGGGATAAAATGTGGAACAATATTCAAAGTTAAATATATACATATATATTATTGCTGTTGTTAAGTGCTGTCAAGTCGATTCCAAACCATAGTGACTCTATATAGGGTTTCCAAAGAGCAGCTGGTGAGGTTGAACCACTGACCCTGCAGTTCAAAGTGACTTTGCAGCCCATTGCATTAACCCATAGTGCCACACCAGGAGCCATATAAAAAATTACTACTGGGCTCACTAGTCAAGAGACTGGAGGAAGCCTAAATGAGGGCCCTCAACCACCATTCAGGTCAGGAAATGAACTCACCTGGGTGGCCCAATTTTCAGTCAAGTGGTAGATAAAGGGTGGACAACACTAGTAAAGTATACTCACCATGAAATGGTCATTCAAAATCAAAAGGGGATCATTTATCTAAAGGACTAAGTTGAGAAGGAGTGGAAAGGTGGGTGGAATGAAATAGGAAATACAGGGAAGAAGTGGGATACCTGGTTGCATGGAAGGGACTGCAATTATTGGGTTGAAAAACAAAACAAAAAAACTGCAAAAGAGGCTGCTAACAGAAGTGTGTAGTCAGAATGGGAGGTGTTGCTGAGCAGAGCTGTACTAGGAAGAATGAGAACAGAACTGCAAGAAAGAGGGACAGGCCCAGCTAAGCTCTGGCCAGCTCCTATTCTTGCTGTGTTACTCACCTGGCGATTGCTGAGCCAGCAGAGCCTCGGGATGAGGCAGACTGAACAGCAGAACCTTCCCATCTGAGCAGGCAATAGCCAAGAGACCCAGTCGGGGCAGGAGAGGAGCCTAGAGGGGAGACCAGATCTGCTGAGCTTACTGCCTCTCAGAAAAGCTTTGAAGTTCCTGGTCCCTGAAAACATATTAAATTGCAAAAAAAAAAAAAAAAAAAAGTCCACCCACTGCTCTCCAACTCCCTTCTTCCAACTCTGGGAAGTACCTTCCGAGGGGTGGTTGGAAGCTCCCATGCTCCACTTGGGCAGAACTTGAGGTCCCAGATGCAGCCATTATCACAAGCAATCCCATAGACAAAGTGGGCTCTGTTGTCAGGACTGGGGAGAGAAATCACATGGGGAGAATGGGTAAAAAGGAGGATCCCAGGGCTTTGAAAGACTGGGTTCCACTTTTCTCAATCCAGTCCAAGTCCTCCTGTCTAAGATACCCAGGTCCCAGTCTTCCCTCTTCCTCACCCATACTCCCAGCAGTGTCTTAGCCCCCACCTCACCAGCTTTCTTGCTGCAAGGTTCCAAGACCCCAGAGCTGGAGCAGCCCAGGACCCGAATAAAGTTGGCTGAGTGAGTGTGTCTCATTCATATCAGGGCTGGAGAACAGTGCCACATACTGCGAGGTTGCTGCCCCTTCTGGCACAGGGCACCACTCCAGAGCCCAGACTGGCCCGCCTGTGAAGAAGGACATGTCCCAGCGCTCTGGGTGTGCTGTGAGAGAGCTAAATCTAGAAGAATACAAAGATGGGATGAAGAAAAGAATTAATAAAAAGTAAAGAGAACAGAACAAAAGCGCCACCTGACACTAGTTATGATCTGTTAAGACCTAACAGAATATCAAGTAAGACAGATGTTAAGACTCCTTAGCCAGTAATTGTATCTTCCTCTTGTCCTCCCCAAAATATGACCAGCGCCAGCACTTCTTGAAGATGATGGGCTATTCATTCTGGTTTATTACAATGTTCTCTCCAGGTCCAGTCTGTCCAGATTTATCTGAGTGGACGTGACCTTGTAAATTCATTTCATCTGACATCTCCTAGGCTTCACTCAGTCTGGTCAGCAATGATAAGCAGGATTAGAGGCATGACCAGCTCTAGCCAGTCCTCTTACCCCTGACATTAACTGGACCAGCAACAGGGGGAGAGGGCAGGGCTAATCTGTCACCCTTTATAACATTTGTTTTTCTGTTTCTATCTCCTCTATTAGAATCTGATAAAGGTTAGGCTGCAATCTTTACCTATTTATTCGGTAGAGTGTGCCATCCTCAGGAAGTCCTTCACGTTGTACTGAAAAAAGCGGAGACTTCTCCTCCTGGGGCAGGTAGGGAGCAGCCTCACTGGGGGAGGGCAAAGGGAATGGCCTGAAGTTTGAAGAGTTCTACCCATTCCAGAACTCCCAAATACCTCCAGAGCCCTGCTACCCTTCCATCTTCAGTGGTGCCACTCGCTCCAAAGTATCAAAGATGTCTCTTCAACTTACACTTCAGATAACAAGTGCCACTTCCAGGCCAAAGGGATCCATTCCGCAAACTCCCAGTATGAATGCTTCTGTTCGCGGCTAGGGGTAGAAGGAGTAGAGAAATTCTATGAGCCCTGGTAGTGTAGGAGATTACAAGCTATGCTGCTAACCACAAGGTCAGTGGTTCAAATCTACCAGTCACTCCGTGGGAAACGATGAGGCTTTCTGTTCCTGTAAGGATTTACAGCCTCAGAAACCCTATACAGGGTCAATGTGAGTTGGAACCAACCCCACAACATACCACCACCACCAGAGAAATTCTAGAGCCGTGCTGTCCGGTGAAACTCTCTGTGATCATAGAAATGATCTTGATCTGTACTGTCCAATATGGGAGCCACTAGCTGCAAGTAGCTCCTGGACACCTGAAATGTGGCTAGTAATTTCGGCCTTGTGAATGCCATTTTTTCCCCACTGCACTACTTGCAAATCATGCTTCACACTTCAACCCTACCCCTTATCTTTTTTTTTTTTTTTTTTTCTTTTAATGCTTTATTGTGAGTTACATGATAGCTTACATGGGAGGACATCAGCTCACTGATCCCGTTATATATCCCACCCCTTAACTCTTAAGAGTTCCCATTCCCCAAGTCTCACAGGTCCTTGGTAAGATGGAAGCACTTCCAAACAGGAGCCATGATGTGATTTGGTAAGCCATTGGGGGCCATTCCTCGGCAGTGTGGTTTCTGCTTCTAAAGAATGAAATTGAAGAAAATATAAAGGAAATAGTTTTATAGGCTAATGAGGAAGTCCCTGAGGAAACAACTTTCCCAGCTTTCATTTACCTTTACTTTCCTTGGCATTACTTCTAGCCTTATAATTATCTTAACATACTTATATTTTAACTATTACAAAGATTTCACCACCTTCTGCTCCTATTCCTCCAGTGAAATGATAAATTTGTTATTTCCTGTTCTTCCTCCCCCACTCCCCATTCTCCCTATCTTCAAGGCAGTTGATTCCAAGAACACATTTGCTTCTTGAAAATTCTTCCTCATGGGCTAGTCTCTAGTTCTCTAATATTTCTTCTCAGTTTCCTTCATAGGTGCTCCCTCTTCTGCTTGTGTGTTCAATGATGATATTCCCCAATTCCTCCTATGTGCTTTTCATCACTTCTGGTGACTGCACCCATTTCCACAGTTTTAATTACCATCTCTAACCCAGATTATCAAATTTACAACTCAGCATATGCAAACTTTTGCCAATCTAAACTTTTCTATAAGTTATAGAACCATATAGTGTTATAACAAACCACATTATAGAGACCAAGACAAAAAGGAAAGTCAGATATACAGTTCCTGTCTTTATTTAAAATTTAGGTATTTTGTTCATCGTAAATTTATTACATTAATTCTCATTTTTAAAAAAAATACTAAATTGAAATATCATTTTTCTTGATTATTGAGCTTTCACTACACCCTTAAATTTTGCACTCTTGGCAAAGGAAGCACGGCTCCATATATATAACCAGCTACTGACATCCCTGGGCACTGGTGGCAGGGCAGCAGCTTGAATCCACCAGCCACTCTGCAGGACAAAGATGAGGTTTTCTGATCTTGTAAAGATTTACAGCCTCAGAAACCCTATGCAGGATGGCTATGATAGCAACCAACTCAACAGAGCACAACAATTGGATGATCCATGGCTCAACAGATTAAATTAACATAATATGCCAAAAAGTAAACTCAATCTCTCCTTCCCACCCACAACCCTGCTCCAAATCTCCCTCTCTTCCTGCATTCCAGAGGTCAATGTACTAAATTGAAATATCAATTTAGTAATTATTATTAAGCGCCATTGAGTCATTACAACTCTATATAGGGTTTCCAAAGAGCGGCTGGTGAGTTTGAACTGCCAACCTTATGGTTCAAAACAACCCTAGGGTCCAGTGCTTTATCCCACATCATCTACACTAGAAACCCCCACTCAACTTCTTCCTTCAACTACCAGGTTCTGTCAGTTCTCTAATACATCTCTTGACTCTGTTCCCTCATCTACTTGCTTCAAGTCTTCATTTCTTCCTACCTAAAACCTTGGGTGACTCCCTATAGCTTAAAGGATGGAAGACTTCCAACTTAGCCTGGTGTATACTCTTCTTATCAATGTTAGTTCACTCATTCTAATTTAATCTCATCACCACTTTACCTAGGCTCTCAGCCCCAGCCATAATCAGGTTCTGGTCAAACCATCTTCTTGGGGAAATTTCTGTTCATCCCTTTAAGACTCAGTTCAACTACCACCCCTCTATGCCACCTCATCAGTTAATCACCTTTCTGATAATCTGATACAGCACTGAACTGTATTCATGTTTGTGTTTCGTAGGACAGAAGAGATGCTCAATATGAAAATAATCTGGTTTACTAGCTCCCCTTCCCCATTCCTCTAATATTGCAACAGCTTTTGAAGTCATCTTTATCTTCTTTTACCTATTTAGCCATCACAATTGGTAGGCCCAATCTATCCTTTGAGACACCCTTTTGTTGTTGTGAAGTGCTATTGAGTCAGTATCGAATCATAGCGACCTTGCATAGGGTTTCCAAAGAGCAGGCGGTGAGTTCATACCACTGCCCTTGTGGTTCAAACTAATCTTTTGATCTAGTAATTATCCTACAGCGCCCCACCAGGACTCCACAGATCCCTATTTCCTACTATTCTCCCACCCACTTCCTTGTTCTTTCAGATTACCCCTGAAGTGGATCCTCGGGGTGTACTTCGGGGCGCTGCAGGCACGGCAGGCACAGCAGGCACAATGGGCACAGCAGGCACGGCAGGCACAGCAGGCGCGACGGGCACTGCGGGCGCAGCAGGCACGACGGGCACTGCGGGCACGGTGGGTACTGCAGGTATGGCGGGCATTGTGGGCAGAGTGGACACTGCAGGCTCGGGGTCCGATGAGTTCTCACTCGGGATCTCATTTTCTTCCTCATCTTCAGCCGCAACCTGGAGAACAAAGTCTTCATCTTGTGCAGTATCAGCCTCTCCTTCCCTATCATGAGGGTCAGCCTCCAGCTGGCTTTCTTGCAATTTGGTAGGGCTGCTCAACTTGGGGTTCTCAGGACAGGTCACTGGAGCAGGCAGCGTTGTTGAAAACTCTTCTGCCAGTTCTTGAAGATACAGAAGTGCCCTGTGGGAAACAGCAGGGTCAGAGCCATACTTCAAACACTTAACTGAGAGCCCACTTTCCCAAACATTTGGTTGATTCTTATCTCAATGACTCCTTCCCAGAACCCTGTGCAGCAGGTATTAATTTTCCCTTCCCCTCTGATAGATGAAGACACAGAAATTCAGAAAAGTTAAAAGACTTGGCCAAGATGATTTAGGTAACAAATGTGAACTCTTAATCCAGGTCTTCCAAAAGCACAATGCACTTTTCACTCAACCACAGGCAAAGATCATAATAGAGGGCAAAAAGAGAGAATGGAAGAGTATACATATACTGATACATACAGGGGCAGTAAACTAACGGTGAAATGCGAGGATGAATTTATGAAAAATGTGATTGGATACTAGGTACAAGGTACAGAAAAGAAACGTAGATAGACAAAGTTAGCAAAAGATAAAAGTCGCTGTGGTAGAAGCAAAAAGATTGCTCAAGCTCCCAGAACCCAGATGCCACCCTACTTAACTGATACCTCATCACAGTCCTCTCCTTTCTCCAACATTTGTCCCACCCTGATCCCTTCACCCCAGTCCCCATCCAGCAAGCGGTGTCCCACAATCCTTACACTTGGGCAGCCCTTCGGCGGGGTCGCTCCCCAGGAGGGGTCTCAAAGTCCTCAGGGGGCCTCTTTGGAGGTGGAGACTCTGGCTGATCTAGGCCTTTGGACAACTTCAGCAGTAGCAGCTCTGCCTTGGACTTTCGACCCCGTTTCTTAGGCATGGGGGTAGACAGAGGGTTGGACTGATCTAAGAGATCAGGAACCAATGGGGCTGATGGAGGATTAGGTTGTTGGGGCCTTTTGGGGCCTTTTCGTGTCCTACCACCTCTCTTCCGGCCAGGCTTTGAGGCCCTAGGCTTTGAGCCCTTTGACATCTCTGATGAAAGATCTGTAGAGAAGAACATGGGGGTCTGTGAGATGGGATGAGAGCTCAGGCGAACTCCTGCAGAAACCTCTTTGGAATATATTATACCATACACGGGTTTGTAAAATCCTATAATTTCAATCTGCTCTTTCATCTTTAAGCTTCCAGGAATGCACATGAAAGGACAAGGTACATACCTTGCTGTTCCAGTCTGGAGAAGCTTTCCTGCTCTAGAGGAAGCCTCCTCTTATCAGGAGAATCCTCAAATCCAGGCAAAGGTGACATCTCTATGGAAGCCTCTGCACTGGTCATTTCTGATGAGGCCTTGACATCAAGCTGGTCTAGCACTTCTGGTCCAGGAGAGTCTACCATAGTCATGTTCCCCACGGGGCCGGCCTCCCCCAGGGCAACACAGCCGACCCCGTAGGTATCCATCAGCACCTCCAAAAATGGCTGGCCCTGCACACAGAGACATACAAATGAGTAGAAGGCAGAAGCTAATTACCATGTTTACATATAGCATTGCCTGAGATTTTTCTGCTTTGTCTTTCCTTCCCTTACCCCCACAACCAGACAACCAAGCTCCCTGACCAATCATTCATTCAACAATAATTTACTAAACACTATGTCAGGCACTGTTCTAGGCACTGATGATACAGCAATAAGAAAGGCAGATCAAGTTCCTGCCCTCATGGAACTCATATTTCAGTGGAGCAGACAATAAATAAAAATAAAAAAAGCAACCTACCATTTACTCAGATGAGACTTTCTGCTCCCACAAAGATATACAGCCTCGGAAACCCTATACAGGGTAGATGAGTCGGAACAGACTCCACACGAAGGCACTAAACAACAACCATTTACTAAATGTTTACTATGTGCTCAGAACTATGCTACGTGCCATAGTTGCATTATTTAAGGCTCATAAAGTTTCTTGTAATACTGTAATAAAAATGCACAATTAATCCTAGACCAAGCCTTACTCCTACTCCTAAGCCCTACTTCAGCCTCTTCCCTTAACAATAACTCTAGTCCTAACCATAACCCTAACACTGAACGAAGTTCTAGGCCTAGGCTAAATCAATCTAACTGTAGTCCCAACCCTAACCCTCACTTCTACCGCCTCAAAAAAATAACATAATTATTTAACTTCTCTCCCTAAAGCCCAGTGAAATTAATCAAACTTCCTCCTTCTCCTTCAAAAACATACAAGGGAAAAAAAAAAAACTTCATAACTTCCTAACACAGACTATAAAGAATATCAGAAAGATCTAACAGTGAAACCTTAAGAGTCAGAACTCAACTCGACTGCCTTGTTGGTCTGGGACTCAAAAGTTTTCCGCCTTTGACATGATACAGTCTTACCATTTTTCTATCACTTGGTTTAGCAGAAAATATTAGAGATTTTCTTCTCTTTGGAAAGAACACAGGTTCCAACTATCGCAGATTTTACTGTATACAATTTAGACCAAACTGAAGGAGGATGCCTAGAACTAACAGCCATCTCTATGAATCTTTTAGTCAGGGAACAGATTTGAAAATAAGTTCCCTATTGTCTCGTCATCAATTTTTCACCTGGATGGGGAAATGGGTAGGCCATAAGACAATTAGGGAACATTCTATTACAGTAAGGGTAAGGGATCATATCCACATTGAATAATGGACTAAATTGTCAAGAATCTTCATTTTCTTCAAACCCAGAAAAAGGGAGCTGTGGGAATCATGGACCAATATAACTCGATAAGATAAATACAATGACTACCAAACCAGAAACCTGAGCAACAGACAACTCTACAGTTTTGGGCCAGAACAATCTATTTGCCTTTAACAATGCTCAAGTCCCAGAAGAAAACCTCCCATACATGCTTTTGTTGTTGTTGTTAAATGCCGTCGAGTCGGTTCCGACCCATAGCGACCCTGTACAGGGTTTCCAAGGGTGTAAATCCTTACGGGAGTAGAAAGCCGCATCTTTCTCCCGCGGAGCGGCTGGTAGTTTCAAACCGCTGACCTTAAGGTTCGCAGCCCGATTCGTAACCACTACACTACCAGAGCTCCTTCCATACATGCCTTAAGGATAAGGAATTCATCAACTGCAGGGGAAAAGTGTTCTAATATAAATACCTTAAGTAATAACAAATTAAAGTTCCCAATTGTCTCCCTTAAAGGAGTTACAGTGTAAATATTATAAATTAGTATAACAACATCCAACCTTCTAATTGGAGTCCTGAAGTGATGCTATAGGAACTGTAGGCTAAGCAGTTGACCATAAGGTTGGTTTGAACTGCAAGAACTGTGGTTCAAACTCACCAGCCACTCCTTGGAAGCTCTAAACAAGGTCACTAAGAGTCAGAACCGACTTGAGGGCACTTAACAACCTCTTCCAATGTGCTATAGATATACTGTAACATCATGCATTAAGAAAACAATAAAGTGTGCCAAGGTAAATAGAGGTCAATGAGAATACAGCCACAATGTTCTTTGGTAAATATCAAGTACTGATAGAACTATCTATTGCTACTGAGTCCATAATAACCCTAAAGGACAACATAGAATTGCCCTAGAAGACTTCCAAGGCTGTAAATCTTTACCTAAAGAGACTGACACATCTTTCTCTGTGGAATGGCTAGTGGGTTAGAACCACCAACCTTTCAGTTAGCAGATGAACACCAACTGCACCACCAGGGCTTATTCTCTGATAGAACTATCCATTCAAAATTAGCAATAAAGAAAAAGTATCCAACATAGAATCTATGCACAAATACTACAGAAAGAATCAAAGTAGGAGAGTAGGAGAGTACCTTTTTGGGAAAACATTAAAACAAAATGTAAAAAATTAAAACAAAATGTTTTAAATGTTTAAAACATTAAAACAAAAACTTACCCTTTCAAAAAACCCAATGCGACTGTAACAAGAAACAAGAGTAAAGGAGATGCAGGAATTTAAAGAAGAGAGAAACCAATAGCAAGAAAATAAAATTAAGTACAAGAATAAAATCACAGAACATAAAACCCACACAAGTAACAAGTAGCAACTATACTGCTGAAAAGAGAAATTAGGACACAAAAGACAAGACCTGAGGAAAATCACACAGATTACAAAAATAAAGTGATTAGTAAAATGGTAATATAAATGAAGAGAGTTGGGAGCCAACATATGATTTAAAAAAAAAACAAACACAAATCACACACTTTTCCTGAAATAAAAATCTGAAACTATAAATCAAAAAAGTCCATGAAAAAAGGAGAAAAAGAAGACTACAAAATTTCCAAGTGAAGATACTACACTTCAAATGAAAATAGTAAGGCATCTCAGCTAAACACATGTCTCTTACAAAGGAAAAAAAAAAAAAAAGTTCAGCACCAGAGTGCTTAGAAACCACTTGGTAGCAAAAGATAAAGAAACCGTTGAGAGAAAGGATGTGGCTTATGAATTCTTTACTTAAATAGGATGCCATCCACATAAAGAGCAACAGGAGGACATTCTAAATATGCAAGATCCTAGGAATTTTAACTGTTATGCATTCTTACTACAGAAAAGAAAATCTACTTGAAGACCCTACTTCACTAATATATTTTAAAATATATCTAAATACAAATTTGAGTAGAGAAGCAATAATATGAAAAGACGAGCAGTAAGTATTTAATTCATTGAAAGATGAAATTGAGTTTAAATAACCATGGTAACTAAAGATCCCAATATGTAAAAATATCAGTAAATACCAGTAATCAAAGACTAGTCCGAGACTAATAATTTTAGACTAGTGTGACTGGCTTAACATTTAAACTCAATTTCATCTTTCACTGAATTAAATGCTTACTGCTCATCTTTTCATAACACAGCTTCTTCATTAGAAAATCCTAAGACTAATGTAGTCCTGTAGGATAAGAATTGGACTGCTAAAGCAAAGACGGCAGTTCAAACTGCTCCTCAGAAACCCTATACAGGGGTCACTACAGCGTTGAAACCAACTTGGCACTTAACAACAACATGGACTAACACAAAAGTAGTAGTATTTTAATTGTGCTTTTGAGGTTGATAAATTAAAAAATATTGTGTATTTTTTTAAAGTATCATGTAAATGTTTGTTGTTGTTGTTAAGTACTGATGAGTTGGTTCTACTCATAGAAACCCTGTATGGGGTTTCTAAAGAGTGGTTGTTGAGTTTGAAGCTCCGAACTTGCAGTTCAAACCGACGCGCAGTCCAGTTCTTATTCTACAGCACCAAACCAGGACTCCTTTAGATGTTTGTTGTTGTTAAGTACCGTGGAGTCGGTTCCAACTCATAGCAACCCTGCATAGGGTTTCCGAGGCTGTAAATCTTTACAGGAGCAGAATGCCTCATCTTTTCCCTAAGGAACCACTGGTAATTTCGAACTGCCGTCCTTGTGGTTAGCAGCCCAATTTGTAACCATTATGCTACCAGAGCTCCTTAGATGTTGAGTAGAACTAAAAAGAGAGTATATTCACTATATTCCTTCCAAAACTAACTACTAGGCTATGGAAATCATAAGATTTTTTTAAAAGACACCCAATAAAAGAGTGAAAAATCAAGGAAACAAAAAAGAAAAAAAGACAAAAACAAGATGACAGAGGCAAGATAAAACATATGTACTACAACCAAAAACATACATTAACTCACCCATTAAAAGAATATTCAAATAGAGTCAAAAGTCAAATAATTATGCTTTTAAAAGACACCTTAAACAAAAGCACTCAAGAAGCTGAAAGTAAAAAGATTAATCAAAATATACAGAGCAAATGTAACCAAAAAGAAAGCAGAATTTTGATGATAATAGCTAATAGATGAACATGGGAAAAATATTACATGGGGCAAAAAGGTAATTCTTTACAATGAATAAAACTTCAAATCAAGTATTCCAGCAAGATGGTGACTAGGCAGATGCACTACAGGGATCCTCTACAACAAAGATAAGAGAGACCAAATAAAGAGACACCGATGAAAACCCTGTAACCCTGAACTTCAACAGAAAGTTAGAAAAGCGGATTGAGTGCTTGTTGGGAGGAGACAACCTAAGAGAGTAACTGGTGAATAACCAGCAAGAAATGGCGGGCCTATCTTCATTTGTGAACAGCTTTGGAAACAGAAGGTGGCCAGGCAGAGCAGATTCACACAGTTGATGGGAAAGGAAAAAGCAACTGTTGAAAAGAGAAATCAGTGACACTAAGCCCATACAGCTCAGCCACAACCATACACTCTGCAGCTCCACCCACTGGGTAAGAACCAATCCTACACCACCTGATCAATGATAAGACAGACAGCAGCCAGCACCAGCCAAACCCACTCTAAACTGAGGGGCATGGACAGCTAACAGTACACATGCCTCTATTCTCTTAACTACACCCACAGGAGATAGTTTATGAGAATCTAAGAACACATCAACATATGATAATCAATTAAATACAAAAATGATAA